GGTCTGTGCAACATAGCAAGATCCTGTTTCTAAAGAAAGAAAGAAAAAAAAACACCAGATAAAAACTACAAAACAAGTAGGTGAAGATATATTCTTACTAAGACTTGTGAAAACTTAGATGATAATTGCACAAAACCCTCCAAAAATATAAACTATTGGCACAGGCTTCATACTTAGCTATACAACCATCTAACCCCATTCTCCCCTACAACCTTGTTTTCACTTAATAAACATGTTAACTTTACAAGCTACTACCAACAGCCTTTATTAGTCTATTCCACTCTTGCTAATCCATCTTTCTTATTTTCTGTTTTTTTCTCTCTTTGCTACTTCTCTTTTTCCTTTAATTCTTCCTTCGATGTAATGGGATTCTATTCAAATCTTTCTTCAGCTATGACTAATTTTTCTTCATTATGTTTAAAACTACATGGTATAATAAATGAGAGTTAAGCCTATATGTTCCTGAGTTGCAGCAGTAGAGTATTTTTTAATTTCTTCTCCTATTTCTTATCACTCATCCATTGTATTTAGTTTCTACTCCCTACCCCAAAGGTAGGGACACTTGAAGTTTTCAAATTAAAAGTGATTTCCTGGGATGCTCAAAGCTTCCAACTAACTCACAACAGATGCTAATTTATTATGATAGTCCTCACCATGGCTTTCCTTTAAGTGTGACATCTACCCAAGAGGCTTTTTAAAATTTTGTTTATTTTTTTTGAGATGGAGTTTTGCTATGTGGCCCAGGCTGGAGTGCAATGGCGTGATCTCGGCTCACTGCAACCTCCGCCTCCCGGGTTCAAGCGATTCTCCTGCCTCAGCCTCCCGAGTAGCCGGGATTACAGGCGCCTGCCACCACACCCGACTAATTTTTGTATTTTTAGTAGAGACGGGGTTTCACCATGTTGGCCAGACTGGTCTCAAACTCCTGACCCCGTGACCTGCCTGCCTCAGCCTCCCAATGTGCTGGGATTACAGGTTGAGCCACAGCACCCGGCCCCAAGAAGTTTCTTTAATCTCATTTCACTCAGTGAATTCATTCAGTACACATGTGTTTAGCCTCCATTATGCAATTCACTGTACTAAGTGCTGGATGGTTTAGGACAGGAGAAAGGTAATATTTAAGAACCTTTCCATGTATTTTCATGTGAAGTTCTTTATAAGGTAAATTACTTTACAGGCATAATGGTAAACACTTTAAATGCCTATCTCATTTAATCCTCACAGAAATATTATAGCATTACCACCATTTTACTAGCTCAGAAAGAAAATAACTTGCCAAAGGTCACAAAGTAAGCTGGAATTTTAACCCTGCACAGTTGGGTCCTCCTGACCACTCCATGATATAAAATCATGATTATGTCTCAGCCCGGTTTTTCTCTCCAGCTCTGGTCTTCCAAGTAAGTTTTTTTGCAGTTCATCTCAAAAATGCTTTCTTTCATTTGATCATTCTATATCTCCTCCTTCTTTGTCATCTGTTATGAGTTGAACTGTGTTCCCTCAAAATTCACATGTTGAAATCCTGACACCTTCTACTTCAGAATAAGACCTGATTTGGAATAGGTTTGTTGGAGATGTAATCAGTTAAGACGAGGTCATACTGGAGCAGGTGGGCCCCTAATCCAATATGGCTGATATTCTTATAAAAAGGAAACATTCGGACGCAAACTCAGACATGCACACAGGAAGAACATCATGCAAAGATTGGAGTTATGCTAACACAAGTCAAGGAACACCAAGATTGCCAACAAACCTCCAGAAGCTAGGAAAGAGGCGTGAAATGGATTCTTCCTCACACCCTCAAAAGGAACCAACTCACCCAACACCTTGACTTCAGACTTCCAGCCTTCAGGACTATGAGATAATAGATTTCTGTTGGTTAAGCCACCCAGTTTGTGGTACTTTGTTATGGCAGCCCTAGTAAACGACACATCTACACTTAGATAATTCAGAAATCCAAATGCAAATTTTTCTGCCTAACAGCAATATTCCCTTCCTCCATCTATATAGTTTTTAGCACAGCGGGATAGAACCAGTTGTACTGTTGCCAAACCAGAGATGTAAAGAGTAATTCTTGAATTCTCAGCAATCTCCTTTCCACATTCTGGCAATCAATCAAATGACTGAAGGGTTAGGAGCACAGGCTTTGAAGTCCACTGAGCTTAAATACCAGCTTCCACATTTCTTAGCTGTGTGATCTTGGGCAACTACCTAAACCTTGGCTTCCTGACCTGTTAAAGTGGGCTAATACCATCACTACCAGATACAGTCTGTATAACAATAAAGGGGAAAAATGCCTGAAAAGAATTTAGCACCTCACCTGGCATATAGAAAAAGTGAAACAAGTTATCTCTATCAGTATTGTTCCTAAAACAAACTTTAGAATACATTTGGTTTTCATATGTGGGTCAGATTCGTATTTGTGCACATGATGTGTTATACTCTGCTGGTATAAGAGTGACCAGTCACTAACCTCTGTGTAGTCTCCCACCTTTACCAGTCTCAGAAATTGAGAGGAGGTAACCTTAAAAATGTGAACTAGGAGGCTGGGCGCAGTGACTCGCACCTGTAATCCAAGCACTTTGGGAGGCCAAGGTGGGTGGATCAACCAAGGTCAGGAGTTCGAGACTAGCCCGGCCAACATGATGAAACCCCCGTTTCTACTAAAAGTACAAAACTTAGCCAGGCGTAGCGGTGGGTGCCTGTAATTCCAGCTACTCGGGAGGCTGAGGCAGGAGAATCGCTTGAACCCAGGAGTCAGAGGTTGCAGTGAACCAAGATCCCGCCACTGCACTCCAGCCTGGGTGACAAGAACAAAACTCCATCTCAAAAAAAAAAAAAAAAGAAAAAGAAAAAAAAGTGAACTAGGAAAATCTATATTAAAGAATCCCTGTATCACCAGTGTGCCCTTTGACTTCATTTTGGGGGTTAGAGCTGGTTTTGTAAGTAGGACTTAAAAAAAACTGTAGCTCCAGGTCTAAGGAGGGAGGTTTGTGTGAAAGGACATTTAGTGCAGTGAGATATTAAAGCAGAGATCCACGATGTCTGAGTCAACAGAACAGATTAGCAGCTGCTAAAAGATAGAGACCAAGTCTGAGTTGGCTGGTACTGGGAACAACTGCCTTAGCTAACAAGGCACTTGATCATTTCCCCCCACATAAATATGCTGTTTGCCAGTGATTGTTTTCACATTTAGGTTTCCCAAATTCCCTGCTTCTTCCTTAAAAACTTTTTTGGGGAAGGAATCTAATATGCTTAGCATATTAACTTTACTATCTTTAGATAATAAGAAATATGCTGAAAGATTATTTGCCACATTCTCCTTAAAAAAATACAAATGTGTTAACTATAACCTCCAAAATAGGCAAGAAGGCCTTCACACCTTTGCCCCTCCACTTTCATCCATTTAGAATACCCTGTCCTCTCCTTCCACGCTCGCCGATTTGGAATCCCTTAGTTTTTGTTTTGCTGCCAGAAGCCTGAGGTCCTCTTCTTACCTTTCCACACGATCCCCCACTCCCTAACCCCCTGTCACTTTTATCTCCTCTGTGGCCCTGAGGTATTCTGATTTTTGTCTCAAATCTTATTCCCACCACAAACAAACCAGGGCAGCAGGAATGAATCCTTATCTTTATAAATTCCGCGTTTTCTTTTTTTTTAATCAAAAGCTCAATAAACATTTGCATGAGTTACTGACAGAGAAGCAGCTTGAACGCTTTAAAAATGAAACTGAAACCAGCGGAAAATCTAAAACTGAACTCTATCAGTTTATTAACATTACAGCAGGTCTCTGTTCTGATGAACTCCCTGGCGCTCTTACCGCGTTATCCAGTTTTGTTTTTTTTCGCTGCACTCACCAGTCTAACAGTATCTGTTCACAGGATTCACAGCGCTGGCACGTGCCAAGCGCCTAATAATTGCTCACTGGATTGGCGGCTGACTACTCAGGAGAGGAAATTAAACACAAAGGCAGTATTGATCATATTCAGTAGTGTTTCGTGCGTTTGCTTTGGAAGTGGGGATTGGGGAATGGTCAATCACTTCCAAATTTAAAATATTGCTTCCCGTAAGAAAATGGATTCCTCAAAGACTGGATATTTCATGTCTATAGTCCTGGCCCTGCGTCAGGCACATTGTAGGTGTTGAAAATGCACCTGAGGAATTCTGATTTGCGCGGGACTGTGTATTCCGAGCACAATCCATCCTTAAAAACCAAACAAAGCAGGACAAACTTCGTTCAGAAGCGACTCCCCCTATATTTAGAAACTAGAATTGACCCCCTGGCTGCAGGGTCCCCGTTTACCAACACGCCGCAGGGAAAGTGCTTAGAAATAGTGAAAGCAGCCGGGAGCAGTGGCTCACGCCTGTAATCCCAGCACTTTGGGAGGCCGAGGCGGGAGGATCACCTGAGGTCAGGAGTTCGAGACCAGCCTGGCCGACATGGTGAAATCCCGTCTTTACTAAAAATACAAAAAATTAGCCAGGCGTGGTGGCAGGCGCCTGTAATCCCGGCTACTCGGGAGGCTGAGGCAGGAGAATCGCTTGAAACCGGGAGCCGGAGGTTGCAGTGAGCCGAGATCGCGCCGTTGCACTCCAGCCTGGAATAGTGAAAGCGTGTTGGTTCTCGTTTCATGAAGACAAAGATGAGGATCACACCCACAACGGCACAATCATGGGGGTCTGTCAGGGTGACTTAGGAGCGAAGGAACAAAATGCGCTGCCTGGGAAGACTGGGTCTTGTGGAAGCAAGGGGAAAGTAGAACGTGGTGTGGAAAGGGTTAAAACTGGCGCTCGGCGGGATACAAGGTTCCAGGTGCCTTAACGACCACGCGGAACAACTTGTTTGTCTCCTGTCGCGCTCCGTAGAATGAGTTCCCTGGGCCTCGGCGAGCCACGCCCCCTCAAAGAAGGACAACGCGAAGCTGCCCAGGTAGTGCCTGTTGCACTCGCCAAGGACTGGCCTGCCAGACACAGAAAACTCGCAGTACGCTTGCCTCAGAACCGCCTGAATCCGGAAACAGAAAGTCCCCAGGCCCGGCACCGCGGGAGCCACCTCTTTCGAGGGTGGGCGTGCACATGCGCACAGGGGGCCTGAAAAAACCCTTAAATACCGTCATGCGGGCTGATGAGGCCTCTTTCCCTGCCGCCGCGGAGTCGCGCGGAGGCGGAGGCTTGGGGTAAGTTTAGCGAGGCGGCAGGGGTGTATTGGTTGTGATTCGTGGCTCGTTGTGTTTTTACAGGGATTGGTTACAAGTATCTGGTTCTCTAGCAGGTCAATGCTTTTGTTTTTCAGTGCGTTCAAGATTCCGCTTCACCCGTAACCCACCGCCATGGCCGAGGAAGGGTGAGTCCAGGGGCCGGGTTTGGAGTTGGGGTCGGGGTTCGGCTGAGGCGTGGGCCTGGAGCTGGCGGAGCAGGACTGGGTCGAACGGGTTGCCGTAAGCGCTTCTGTTGTACACTTAGGCCTTTTCTGAGGTCAAGGCGTTATGCGGTGTGAGGATTTTAACTGATGGTTCTGATGTGTCGTGTTTCAGCATTGCTGCTGGAGGTGTAATGGACGTTAATACTGCTTTACAAGAGGTGCTGAAGACCGCCCTCATCCACGATGGCCTAGCACGTGGAATTCGCGAAGCTGCCAAAGCCTTAGACAAGTACGTGTATCAGTCTCAATACTGTGGGTTCTTGCAACCGGAACAAAACTGCCACCCAAGGGAAGAAGGCGTGGAGTTCATGGTGTTAGCGCAAAAGTTCTGAATGGCATCCGTCCTACAGGAAACCTAGGAAAAGGTATCAGAACTTAGATCTATAAAGCCCACTTAAAATGTGTGGGTTGCTGTTGGAATGGGGATGAGCACTCAAAACTACAGTGTTTGAATGATGACTTAAATTGTCGGATACCCCTTCACTCCTTTTATGAGTGAAATGTAAGAGTCTGACAAACCTGTAGGTTGTGGGGCTAGTCAGTTTTATACTTAGGCGGAGAGATGAGATGGAGAGCCACATTACGTTTGGCAGTTTGCAAAACAAGCATTACATGAATGGAATTTCAAACTCAGGTTTCAGAAGCATTTGGTCCTAGGTGTAGGAATATCTGTGATTTATTTGAATTTGGGATATTTATTAATGTATTTTGAACGGATCGAGTTAATGTGTTTTTTATGGTGGTTGCATTGACAACCTACTCTTGAGCTGAATTTAAATGCAGTTTTAAGGTTTTACAGGACAAGTTCAGTTCGTTTTGGTGTAATCTAGCCAGTTGAATCCGATGGAAACGGCATTATTGTTTAATGTATTTAGTAGATTCTAGTATGAATCTTATGTATTATTTCTACTTCGGCAGTATTGCAAGGCATTTCATAACTGTTCCATTAATGCCACAGCTTTTTTTTTTTTCCTTTGAGACAGAGTGTCGCTCTGTTGCCCAGGCTGGAGTGCAGTGGCGCGATCTCATTGCAACCTCTACCTACCAGGTTGAAGCAATTATTGGAATTACAGGCATATGCCACCATGCCCAGCTAGTTTTTGTACTTTCAGTAGAAATGGGGTTTCGCCATGTTGGTCTCTGGCTGGTCTGGAACTCCTGACCTCAGATGATCTGCCCCCCTTGTCCTCCCAAAGTGCTGAGATTATGGGAGTGAGCCTCGGCGCCCGGCCTTTCACATGTTTCTTACGATGTATGAAGCTGGCTTACAAGAAAGCCATTATGGTTGGGATTTGACCACAAGTTTTAAAAATGCCTTTATACCAATTCAGTGTGTCAGGGAAAGAGGTTTTACTGAAGACCAGTTGTAGGTTAATTGAAGATGTATATGCTACCTAGCAGGTTCTTCAGACTCAGGCAATTTTGTACACATTTATGTGTTAAATAGATTTGCTGCTTATGTTTTGCAAGTGTTAGTGCAAAGATAACTCCTAAAATGCAAGAATGATGGATTTGGATCTGAGTTTTAGCTTCATTTTCATTGTAATTTGAATTTCAGGCGCCAAGCCCATCTTTGTGTGCTTGCATCCAACTGTGATGAGCCTATGTATGTCAAGTTGGTGGAGGCCCTTTGTGCTGAACATCAGATCAACCTAATTAAGGTAAGGCTGCTAAGGATTGTGTTGGGACTAATGTTCAGTGATGTTTGTATACCAGGGTCAATTTTGTTGAAGTCTCAAGCTCTTCATTTTGTGCAGGTGTAAACATTACGTGCACCTGATATTGTTGGCCATTTTAAAGATGATTGTAGGTAGAAGCATTTTATACCTGCAGAATTGAATGCTAATTTTGATATTGGTATACAACAAAGATTAGTAGGCTTGTAGGTGATCTTTGTGCTGTACATGATGACAACTGGCTCCCTCTACTGAACTGCCATGAGGAAACTGCCATGTCACCCTTCTGACTACAGCCACCTTTTGGGTTGAATTTATTTTTGGTAGTGTTAATGTCTATTAATATGATTTTTTTTTTTTTTTAAATTTTCTCCCAATAGGTTGATGACAACAAGAAACTAGGAGAATGGGTAGGCCTCTGTAAAATTGACAGAGAGGGGAAACCCCGTAAAGTGGTTGGTTGCAGTTGTGTAGTAGTTAAGGTAAGTCACCATTTATTTTAGGGATGAAGGTTGTGCTGGGTAATCATGTAACACCTTGTATTGAAATTAAGTTGAGGATCTTAAAAAAGGAAAAAACTGATTGAACAGGTTTAAAGCATTTTCTGCATTTCAGAAAAAAATAAAAGCTGTAATTTACAAGCCAGCCAATGAATCTGCTTACCTGATTGTGTTTGTGCAGACATACTTTAAAAACTGGCAATAGTAAAGCCATGTTACGAGCCTTAAGGACATTGAAGTCGTTAAGGTCCCTGAAAGTGGCTATAACAAATCTTAGTGATGAGAAACATATTTATAAGACATAGCTAATTGTTGAAGCTCCACTGTAG